CCCTTAAGTCGCTTGTCAGCAGGCAGCCGCGTGCTGAGGGCGAGACGCAGGCCACACCGACCACGCCGCCGCCGCCACCACCACCACCATCCCAGAGCCCCAAGCAGGAGGAGAAAAGCCAGGTGTGAACGGCCAGGGGCCGCAGCAGCGTGTTTCCCAGCTCCCCTGGCTGGGCATGGTGCCCCCTTGGAAGGCAAGGGGAGAAGGGGGCGGTTGGGGTGCCCTTCAGTTGGTCGGCAGCTCCTGCATCCTGGCCCTGACCCTTCGCTTGTGATAGCTGTAGGGCCATGACATCAGTTGGTGAGGCACAGCACCATACCTGCTGGGGCCACACAGGTGTCTCAGCAGCGTGTTTCCCAGCTCCCCTGGCTGGGCATGGTGCCCCCTTGGAAGGCAAGGGGAGAAGGGGGCGGTTGGGGTGCCCTTCAGTTGGTCGGCAGCTCCTGCATCCTGGCCCTGACCCTTCGCTTGTGATAGCTGTAGGGCCATGACATCAGTTGGTGAGGCACAGCACCATACCTGCTGGGGCCACACAGGTGTCTGGCTGGCCAGTGTGGGAGGTGTGGGCATTGCTGGAGAAAAAAAGCACACTCTCGGCAAATAATTGTAGCATTTATTGCTCTGGGCACCAGTAGTTAAGAACCCCAGTAATTCCCTCCCCTGGTATATAATTGCGTTGTCCTTAAAATGTCAGAAGAATTATGTGGGGTTTTTTTCCTGAGTTGTCTTTAAAAGAATTAACTTTCTCAGCAGTACAGATACCCATATATAAGACAAAAGTACAGACTCTACAGTTACTCTGGTAGCATGTGGTAGTTGCAGGCTGTGTGGGAGGCCAGAAAACTTGATGTGAATAAACATAAACTTGAATATGAATGGCCACAGCTTGCAAATTCACTGTGATTTGGAGATTTAATCTAGTTTGGTAGATTTAATCCACAAGTTTTGGCCTGTTTTGTGGGAAAGGATGACGAGTGTGATTAGGGGAAGTAGGGAGGATTTTGTGTATGTTAAGGATTTGCTTTCATTACAAGCATCGAGTGTCACTGAATTGGCATAACCCCTAAGGTACATGGGCAGATCTACCCTCCTCCCTGCCAGAGCTGTGACAGTGAGCTCCATTGGTACACAGGGCTGCCTGCTGATATTAGAGGTTCTGCTGCTTCTGTTATACTGATGGCTGCAGTCTGTCAAATCGCCAGCACAGAAAATACTGAACACTAAACGTTGATTTTCATGCCAGCTGAATGATGGTAGGGAGATTCTGTTATATTGGCTACATTTATTTCTAAGACCTTTTTTTTTTTTTTTAGGACTGTAGGAACAACCTTTGTGTTCCTGAAGGGTTTTTGCTAGCTCATCAGATGCTGTGCGCTGTGCTGCCCTAGGGATTGTCAGCGCAGAGGAATGGCTAAATTGTTGGATTCTGTTAGCCTGATCTGGAAAGGGAGAACCCTTTTTCAGGGCATCTGCAAGTATTTGGCCTGTCACAACAAATTCCTGACTTGGGTACCTATCGAAAGGGACTTCTCTGGGCCGACTTGCAACAAAGAAAGGGAGCAAACACCACGCAGTGTATAGCATAACCGGTCCCAGTGCAGGCCTCGTGGCCTTGGTGCCTTTGGTGGTTAATGTTCTAGATTTATGCAGCTTGTTCTGATACCTCTGTTTAGATTTCTCCATTCTCAAGAACAACAGCTCAGTTCTTGTTTTGCTATGGATCTTAACACGAGCACCAGACGGGCAATGGCTCATAGCTTTCATCTCATCTGAGACTGGATCTTCAGCTTGTCATCTTAACCAGACTTGTAACTTCTTCCACAGTAGCTGGTCTGTCAGTGCAGGCTTTGCACTATTGTCTGCTGAGGCACCAGAAGTCTTGATCCCCTTTTGGTTTTGTGGAAATTTCCCAGTTGATTTTAGCATTGATTTATTCCTCACCTCCCCCCCCCACCCCAT